ATCTCCGAGGCTAAAATTGAAGCGCGGTCTAAGATCTCGGTAACCGACAACCGCGCAGTGAGTGGACGGCGACAGGGTCGCACGGCCAAGACCACAGGCGCGATTGATACTAGGATGGGAAGAAGAAGGTTGGGTGCTCCAGCGCGCAACGTGAGCCCTGCTCAAACCTTGTAAACGCCGTGTCAATTTCCCGAACTTTCTAATTCCAGGGGAAGTGGTGTCATTACCAATGACCTCGACGAGGCACAAAATCAGCAGTTGGATGCTGTCCGCTGGGCGGATTCCATGGGCGCGCATCCACGGTCGGTCCTTGACATTCGTGTGGAAAACGGCTTCCGCTCGGCCGATCCCGCTACAGAAGCAAAGGACGCGATCACTCGATCGTTGATCGTCTACGTGATCGAGCCCCCGTCCACTACACAAGCTGAGCTTGACGAACGAAAAGCTCTCCGAGCTCGCTTCTTGGTGCCTCGAGAAATCCTGGTGGATACGAACCGCGCTCAACTCCATGCCGAACGAGGAGGCGCTCCTGAACCCGCGATGCGGACGATTCTTGTGGTGATTGCCCCAGGTAAAACTGATGCAGATGACGAAGAGTTCTTTGAGCGATGGGGTTAGCGGCATCGGAGACTTTCCTCGCTGTCTAACTTACAGCGGAGCCGCAAGGAGGTGGGCTTGTGTTTGGAACGCTATCTTAGGTTTGAATTTACCAAATGCTAGGCGCGTCACCGGCTTCCTTTTGTGGTCTCTCACACGGGTGAGTTGACCGCAGCAGCTCACGATGACGCGGAACATAATGATCCCTTTGATCCAAAGCGTCCACGACGTCTGGGAAGTCGCACTGCAAACTCCCACGAGTTTTCAAGTCGCGGTATTCCCGCCACTTCACAAGATACGAAGTCTGACCCTGGTAGTGACCTCGACCAACAAAACGTTCCACATGATAGTTCACCACACCATTCTCGTCGAGAAGAGTCGGCGGCGGGCAATGACGACTGGGTCGATAACCGTCCGGTGACACGCGATGGTCTTCGAGCTCTTGAGGACGAGGTTCCTCGCGATCGAAAACTCCGCTGAGGATCATGTTGGGGTCGCATACCGCTGCGAGAAGACCTAGACAGCTTAAAGTACGTTGTGCACCGACTGCCTTACGTTGAAGACTATCGTGCTCTGTCGTAGCGGTTCCTGGCCGATGAGCAAACGAATGCATCGCTTCATGCGAAGGTGGAGCGTTTGGCCCCGTTGGAGATGGAGATTGTTGCAGTGCGTGCTCAAAGTAGTTGTTGTTTTAACACCAGGGGGACCGAGCGCTTTTGAGTGCCGCTCTGGTGTCAACGCTTCCGCTTTTACTTGCCATGGATCCCGGTACGGTTGGAGCAAGCCCACTTCAAACATTGGGTGGGTGCGCATCCCTCCCTAAACGCAAAGGCCTCGCGGCCACAGCCTTGAAGGTCCGATAAACCGTGGACGGAGCTACTCTTATAAGCAGCAAAAGTCGCATGGGTAGGAATATTTTTAAGTAAAACCAGTTCTCGGACCTCAAAGTTTTTAACATTTTCTCTACCTCTTCCGTCTGCATATCTTGTGGTGAGCCATTGCATCGCTAATGTATCGTAATACACTCAGGATGGTAGACAGAAAGCAAACTGTGAGAGGGCTGGCATCAAATAGCCCTTCCCCCACTAAGCCCTGAAACAAGGGGTGGCGGTGTTAGCGGGACGCGAGGATGAATGAGCCCGTTCACGTTGACCGTTGTGTAGCCGGCAGTCGTTTGCACTGCATTTTTCAAAGTAAACTTTACAAGTGACAGCATGGCGCTCCAGCGCCTTGGATTGCAAGGCAAAGAACGTCCATGACGACACAATTCACGCGCTGAGTCTGGCCATCGGTCTGTGGATAGTCCGCTGTTGACATAGTCAACTTGGTGCCCAGCAGAGACAATTGACTCCGGAAGTCCATGCTGGCTCAAGACTCGATCCACAAACAGTGTCGCTGTGCCGACACCGTCGATGGTGTCCAATACCGCCGCAAGATGAGCCATATTGCTCAAACGGTCGACAAAGACAACCACACCCGTGTTCCCCATCGAGTCCTTTGGCAGGTCAAACACAAAGCCCATACTCATAGACTGTCAACACCCGTAGAATACCAGAAAAACTGACCAGCGGCGCCGCCGCATTCGGAGAGGGTTCCCCCTTTGACATATCTCACTCGTGCGGACATTGGTACATATACGTTTGTTCAGCTTGGGCTACCAGTAGTGGCAACTTACAGAGCTGTGGGTCTTCTCAAGACCAATATGACCACTGAGTGGGGTGTTGTGGGCGTTATAGCGAATACAATAGTTCAAGTTCTCAGCGTGAGGAACCACAGTTTGTGGCGTATTTGTCGTGTCGTGGCTATAAAACAGCAATCCATTATTCAGAGAATTTCGGTGCAACCGTGCACACAATCGCGACGACAATTTCTTGTCCGTGTCTCCAAACTCCTTGCCCCCGAGAGCACGTAGCAGCGCTACTTACAAATCATCACCCGCATACGCGGCGAGGATCAAATCTGCCACGGACGACGTCACTGTCGTGACATGAGCAAGCTCATAATCTGGTTGTCGTGACAACGCATCAACCAAAGCATTCTGCGTTCCTGGCTTATATTTCACCTTGAAGTTATATTCGGCGAAGAAGAGCCACCTGGCCATCCTCTGCAAGAGGTGAGGCGACTGAGTTGCATCGTGTAGTGACGCATTATTTGTGTAAATCACGAACGGCTTGGGGCCCAACAGGTGCACCCTAAATCTGACAAGTGCATACATTATCGCATGTAATTCCTTGTCACGGACTGGTTAATTCCTCTCTGCAGCCTGGTGCTGGCGAGATTCGAACGCGTGCACCTGATCTCGCCCCTTAGCGTCTGCTTGTCGCGATGGCACAGAAGTGTCCCAGACGACATTAGAAGTACGATCAGGGTCTGGTAACGCCAGAATTGGTGCGTGAAGGAGATAGACTGTCTTTGAACCCGTTAAAAGCCTCCCGATGCTTGGTGTCCAAATACCATTCCGCATCCTACAAAAGGGGATTCGACAATGGCGTGCCTTTTCCGCATCTTGTGCAAGTAGTTGGCGAGGCCATTCAACTTTCGCAATTTCTTTTGGTTCTTTAAACCGGCCAGTTCACAATGGCCTTGACCTTAGTAGAGTCCGCTCGAAGCACCCTACGAAGGGGATTTCCTCGGTGCCAACGGTGCACTTGTCTGCATTAACATACAGCTTATTCTTGCGCATGCACTCCGTACCACTCTAAAATGGACGATATGGTTTTCCTCATCCGTCCTCCCGTGCTTTGCACAATTGTGAACGAAAATGTCGTCAAAGTATGTTGGTACATACGCCCGATGGGGCCTGAACATCTGCCAAACGACGATTTAATGTAGCTGGTGTATTTGACAGCCCTCGGGGTATCATAAGTCACTCTTAGAGCACACCACTCAGAGTACTCACTGTTGTCAGCGGAATATCACTCGCTCTCATGAGCAATTGGTAATACCCATCGACCAAATCG